TGTTAAATTTAAAGAGATAAATTATACTATTTCTCTTTGTCCTAAAGGAAGATTCTATTAAATAGATATTACATAGTGAATAGTGACATCAGTTTTTTGGTATTTCAGCTTCACTAAAATATGATGTATCTTTTTTTTCTTTTTCTTTTTTTAAAATATATTTTATTGATTTTTTACAGAGCGGAAGGGAGAGAGAGAGTTAGAAACATCGATGAGAGAGAAACATCGATCAGCTGCCTCCTGCACATCTCCTACAGGGGATGTGCCCGCAACCCAGGCACATGCCCTTGACCAGAATCGAACCCGGGACCTTTTAGCCCGCAGGCCGACGCTCTATCCACTGAGCCAAACCGGTTTCAGCTAATGTATCTTTTTTTTTCAAATTGTCATAGATAGTGGGCAAAAGTAGGTTTATAGTTGTAATACAAATAAATAATACAATTAATAAATAACACAAGAATAAACTGTATTTTGCATACTCACAACTGTAAACCTACTTTTTCTCACTCCAGTATAGATATAAAAAAAAAAATTGTTTTTGAGACCACCCATGCAATTATATTAGTTGACATCCACATATCAATAAAAATTTCAATTTATTTAATGTAGATTTATTTGAGAAAACAAAACATTAAAAAATTGATCTTATTTGATTACAAATGTAACCATGTGTTTTTGTTTTTTTTTACAAAAGAATTATAAAATTTTAGTCATATAAATGAATGGCTCTGCAAACATCAGAAATGTAAACTTCTATTAAGAAGCTTTGGAGCCCTGGCCAGTTTGGCTCAGTGGATAGAGTGTCGGCCTGCGGACTCAAGGGTCCCAGGTTCGATTCCGGTCAGGGGCATGTGCCTTGGTTGTGGGCACATCCCCAGTGGGGAGTGTGCAGGAGGCGGCTGATCGATATTTCTCTCTCATCGATGTTTCTAACTTTCTATCCCGCTCCCTTCCTCTCTGTAAAAAATCAATAAAATATATTTTTTTAAAAAAAGAAGCTTTGGAAATGTAACCTTACGTTGCAATGCACATTGCTCTCTAAACCTGGTTTAACAGATGAAATATTTTAATATTAATAATGCATTTCAAAATGTTTTTATTGATTTCAGAGCAGTTAGGGAGAGGGAAAGAGAGAGAGAAACATTAATGATGAGAGAGAATTATTGATTGGCTGCCTCCTGTACACCTCACACTGGGGATTGAGCTTGCAATCCAGGCATGTGCCCTGACTAGGAATCAAATTGTGACTTCCTGGTTCATAGGTCAATGCTCAATCACTGAACCACACCGACTGGGCCAGATGAAATATTTTCATCTGTTCTTGTTCTTGTTTGTTTAGTGGAGAATAAATGAATCTATGAAGGAGATGGAAGAGAAAAAGAATGAAATCACCAGGCTCCAGGACCAAGAAAAGGCACTCTATGCTAGTTTTCAAGCAGCCGTTGGAGAAAACAAATTTGCTAACTTCCTCATGAAGGTCCTAAAGAAAAGGATAAAACGGGTGAAGAAAAAAGAAGTCGAAGGAGATGCTGGTTTGTATTTCTTTCTTATATATGAAAATATTTTTTTCTCACTAGCATGAAATAGAGAAATAAATAAGTCGTGTTCATCACAACATAGACGATGTAGCAGCATTGTGGGATTTAAAGAGGAGATGATATAAACCTTTTTAGTCTGTATAGGTCAAATCTCACTTTTTCTTCACTGCCACTTCAGACGATGTTTTATTTTCAAAACTTGAAAATAAGAGGAAGGAAAAGGCATGGCATAAATATTAAT